CTGTGCATAGTGACTTCCTTCCAAAACATACAATTTGTAAAATAGTTACTTTCCATTGGAGAAAGCTGACAAACACAATCACAGCCAGGTGATCAAGATTAACATCAACACTGATAAGGTATGTTAATAAGTATGTATCCTTGATATCATGTGATAAGAAAGGGACTTGATTTCTGCCATCTTCCTCCCCAGAACACAAAATTTCAGTGTAATCATTTGAAAAACATCAGACAAATCCAAGTGAAGGGACATTCTACCAACTACCTGATTAATACTCCTCAAAACTGTCGTGGTCATCAAAAATAAAGTCTGAGAAACTGTCACAGTCAAGAGAAGCCGAGACATGAAAACGAAATATGGTGTACTGTTTAGGATCCTGGAACAGGAAAAGGACATTAGTAAAAACTAAGGAATTATGAATAAAGCATGGACTTTAGTTAAGAATAATGCATTGATAGTGGTTCATTAATGTTAACAAATGTACCGTGCTAATGTAAAATGTTAGTAATAGGGGAAAGTGGGTGTGGAGTATTAGGAATTCTCTGAACCATCTTCCCAATTTTCTGTAAATTTGAACAGTTCTAAAGAGTAGTTTATTGAGAAATTATCAAAGTTAAAAAAGAGGTAGAGGGACCATCTAAAAGAAACTATGGACATACCAGCCAAGGTAATGTGGGAACCTAAGGGGGAGACAGCTAAAGCCGTTTTGAGAGACATGAGGAAATTTGAATATGAAGCAACATTTGGATGGCTGATCATTTTCTTAGGTGTGAGACTGGTACTGTGGCTAAATGGAAGAATATCCCTACTCCAAGACTAGGCATGCTGACGCATTTGGGGATGTCATGGGGCATGAAGTGCCTAATTATGTTTGCAACTTACCTCAAATGATTCAGAGGGGAAAAGAGTACATTTGGAGAAAGTGGAAGCAAAGGTGGCAAGCCCAGCCAGCATTACTGAACTTTCTGATCAAGATTAAAATAGAGAAATACTGATGAAAAGGGAGAAAAAATGTGGAACAGAAATTCAAAATCTTAAGGAATCCAGATTTAGTGGAGCTATGGAGTCTGGAGGAGTCCCCAAGACTATGGTCCTGCACTGCTCTTTAACCCTTGAAGTGAAACTATTTCCTGAAACTAACTATAAATTAAATTAAACGATTTAGCCCAAAGAGTAAAGAGTTGGATCCGACTTGACAGCAGTTTTTTTTTTTTTTTTTCAATGCAGTACTCAAGGGTACCAGCCAGCCTTCTGGTTAGCAATCAAGTGCCCTAGGCACGATGTTACCAGAGCTATACAAATGTAAAACGGTCACTGAATTTTATTACAAATTGTTGAATTGTTGAATGTTTTATTATGTGTATTTTCACCCAATTTTTCCAAATGTGCCATTTAGTGTAGTGCAAAGTCTTAAGTTTCCTACCACTTTGGTTTGCTATTTTTGGACTTAACAAAGTTGTGAGTAGCACAGTTGAGGAAAGTTGATACCTGAAGTAACCCACAGAAAATCAACTGCAGAGTTCCATATTCGGGTATTGTGACTGTATTATTTTATATTAAAAAAAATTTGTTACTTGGATGAAAGTTTACAGAGCAAATTAACTTTTCATACAGCAGTTCATGTACACTTTGTCTCATGACATTGACTACAGTTTACCCCAATGCAACAGCTCCCCTCCCACTTCCTCCCCATAGTTACCTCTTCCCTGTGTCCATCCCTCCATGCACTCCTGCCCCCTGAACTCTCTCC